CCACCCCCAGCCCCAGCCCAGCCCCAGCCCCAGCCCCAGCCCTAGCCCAGACCCAGACCCAGACCCAGACCCAACCCAGCCCCAGCCCCAGCCCAGCACCAGCAAAGGAGGAGGCGTGTGGACTGTCTTGGCTCTGGCGGGGAAGGGAAACACCTTTGGCTCCGTGCTCAGCCATTCAGAGCTCCAGGAAAGTATGACCAGCTCCCTCTCTGCCAGCCGTCCTGAAGGACCGAGTCACTTTCCCCCACCCCAAGACGCAATCCACAACCCCCTGAAAGGTTACCCCGAATACACTGGCCTGCAGGCACAGAGGCTTGGGCACCCTTGACCAGTCTGGACTCAGCTGCTGTGGCCTTCCTTCTTGTCCCCAGAAGCTTCTGCTGAGACTCCCATCTCTTGGAGCTCAAGAGAGGGGATGGCTGAGGGTGACATCCTCATCCTGAGGAGAGAGCCATGGCTGAGGGGATGGCTCAGGAAGACATTTCCCACGCACAGAATAAGATGTGAAGTTTGAGGGGCTTCCCCATCCCCACCCCAGAGCCTACTCCCATCCTAACTCCCCTGCCCGTCTCACGTTAGGGACGGCCCTGCTACACAGTGGAGAGGTGGCGAGCTGGAATGAGGGCGGGGACAGGCCAAACAAAAGCATGAGCAGCCCCCTTCGGTCCCGGAGCTCTGGTCCTCCTCCCTGGCTAGAGCTGTCTGCCCCTTCTGGCTTTTTCTCCCTTGACATCAGCTCTCTGTGGCCGGGGGCCTGCAGCAGGGCCCCAGAGACGCGGCATGCCTGTGCGCAGCTGCCCCAGCGCACGGCCTGCTGACATCGGGGAAGCGGCCCAGGGAAGCTGTCATGGAGCTTCTCCACCAAGGGGCAGCCTGGTTGAGTAACAGGCCTTCTCCAGACAGTTCTGGGCCCACAAAGACCCAGACATCCGGGAGTCCCACGTAAACACAGTCTTCTTTCTCCATTTGCCCTCCCCACTTAGGTCACGAGGACGCTAATGATCACCTATGTCCCCACGGACATCCAAGACCCGGAAATCATCATTAAGCATTTTCAGTAAGTCGGTCGAGTGGGCCAAAGCATGGATTGCCTCCTTCCCGGTAACCCTGCCCAGATCATCATGTGGGTAGGAAGTAGAGTGAGAGACACCCCAGGTGGTAGCCCATCCTGGACTTGGCTCAGGATTAGCCTTCCAGAATGGGGGAGGCTCTGAGGCCAGAGCGGGGTTTCTCAAGGCAGGGGCTTTCCTGCATGGCATGAGCGTGTTTGCTGGGGGTGGGGGTTGGTGGTTATCAGTTTCTTCCTTTCCCTCATTGCTCCAACCACAGGGCCCGGCGAGCTCCTAGACCACAGTTACCTAGAACAGGTCATGTTGGGGCATCTTTGTGACCCAAGTTCCTAGCCCCAGGAGCTCATTATCTCCCATGGGCAGGAATTTCCAGTTCCGTCCCCTGGCCCTATTCTGGATCATTTGGGAAGGATGTAGCCATTCTCAGATCACCAGGAATCAGCTCTGAAATTTGACCTGAGGAGCAAGGAATCGAGTCTCCCACCCGAGAACCAGGGACCACAGGCAGCTGAGCCACCTGGCTGTGTGGGCTGTAGTTTGGGGTGGGAGTCGGGGTAGGATGACCAGTCCCCAGCACCACAGGCTGGCTCAGCGTCTGTGTCTGTGGCCACAGCGAGGCTTATCCTGGGTGCGTGGTGACCAGAGTCCACTTCTGCTATGACGTCAGGATGCTGATCGAGTTGGATGATCAGAGGTGAGTCTGCAAGGGGGGTCTCCCTGGATCTGGGGTGGGGAGTGCAAGGGGAGGGTGTGGCTCTGCCAGCCCCCCGATCACAAGATGCTTCCTCCCGGTACCTGTTGGCCAACAGGCGCCACGCAATGCGGGGCCGGCTCTACTACACGGCCAAGGCCAAGAAGAGTGGGAAGGTGATGATCAAGACCCACCCCTGCTCCCGCCTGTGCTTCTGCAAGTGCTGGACCTGCTTCAAAGAGGTACCCAGCCCTGGGAATCAGGGACACAGCAGAGGAGGGGCTGGGGCACAGGGCCTCCAGCTCTGTGCAGGCCTCTGTACCCCCGGGCCCCGTTCAGATCTGCTCTGGGGCTGTGGCTCCTGGCTCCTCCTCCCTTTCTACCAAGCCCTGCCTCCCTGTGGAGAATACGGAGGAGCTGAAGCCTTTCTTGGATCCCCCTCTGGCGTGATCCACGGCAGCTTGCTCTTGCCCACTTCCAGTCTTGGATGGGAGGACCAGAGAGAACATGATAGGCTGCTGTAGGCTGCCACGCCTCGGGCTTTCAAAGGGCAAGGACAGGAGCATTTGAAGGCACCGGGCTCCATCTTATCACCCAACCGCTATGGCTAGGGGGAGGCCACAGGGCAGGACTGCACTCTAGCCAGTCCAGAAAAGAGGATCATCCCCGTTTCCTGAAAATGCCGCAGACGCATTCTGCCACTCCTCTGGGAGTCCAGCCCAAGTTCAAAAGCACCCCTGGGCCCTGCTCTTTCATCAGGGAGCTGATTTCAGAGTCATAGCCTTTTCTTGTTCTCAGAGTGGGATCTGGAAGCCCACTGGGATCCTGAGCTCTTTGCCAGGCTTTGAAGGGAGTTGGGAATGGAGCCAAGGCCTCGGGCCCATCACCTGGATGGAGAAAGGCCTTATGTCCAGGCGAGGCCTTCCTAGAGCTCTGGCTTCTCCGGCTCTGAGGGCCAAATCTCACCCCAGGTAGATGCAGAGCAGTATTATAGTGAGCTGGAGGAGCAGCTGACTGACGAGTTCAACGCTGAGCTCAACCGCGTTCGGCTGAAGCGTCTGGACCTGATCTTTGTCACCTTCCAGGACGCCAGGATGACGAAGCAGTGAGTGCCGGGGCCAGCAGCTTGCTACGCTCAGCCCAGCCCTGAGAATGGGCTTCTACTTCTCTAAAACCATCCTCTTTCACCCCCATTCCAGCCAAGGGGGAAAGGAGAGAGAACCTCCCTCCAGGTGGCCAAATTTTGACCGTCCCTCAACCCCTCAGGTCTCCTCACAGGGAGCCGCCATCTTGCTTTCTGGAGCATGTCTGAGTCCATTTCCGCACAGCCGCCAGACTCCACTTGTCTCCATAGATACCCAGGCCCCGAGCTCCCCATCCCCATATGTCCTTGCTTCAGCACAGCAGTGGTCAGAGTAGACATCTTGGTTCTTCTTCCAGGCCTTGAGAAGAATGAATCCATTTCCCCCATTATACATCACCCCTTTCCTCACCAAAAATGACATGATCGAGAAGCTGTCTGCTCTCCTGCTGCAGGTCTTCCCTAATTCATAGCCTTACAGCCTCCTTCCTCTTCTGCCCCAGCCTCTGGCAGCTCTACCTTGATAAGGAGTCGATTCAGTGCACTTGGGAATGTTCTGGAAGGATCCTTAGGATAGGGTCAAATAGATGAGAACCCAGGCCTCATCCTTTGAGGATTGTGGAGGCCCTCCTCTCTCTGAGGGAGCCTGACCATACATAACACTTTGTCCTCACCCACCCACATTGTACAAAGAAACAGCCCAGAATTTAGTCAAATACAATTGTGTGCAGTTTTGCAAGTCACTTATACTCTCCAATTTCTTGTCTGTCCAGTTTGTTTACTTATATCTTCCCTGTCCACCCCACAGAGGATTAAGAAGGGATACGTGTTTCCTTTAGTATATATGTTGTATAAAACAATATACCGATGTAAGACAATACTGTTTCTTTTCTTTTTTTAAAGATTTTATTTATTTACTTGAGAAAGAGAGGGAAAGCACGAGAAAAGGCAAAAGGAGAAGCAGGCTCCCTGCTGAGCAGGGAACCCAGTGTGGGGCTTGATCCCAAGACCCTGGGATCATGACCTGAACCAAAGGCAGACACTTAACTGACTGAGCCACCCAGGCACTCCACTACTGTTTCTGTTCTGAGACACTGTCACCCAGTAGGAAGGGTCTGAGGTTTAATTACAGAAATATGAATTTTAATCACAGAAATTTGAATTAGAAGACCAAAGTCTCCAGTGCCAGCACCTGCCCCTCTTTGGTTGTATCTGCAGGCACCTAAATTTAGTAGTCTTTTCGATTGGAATTATCTTCATAGCCCATTAGCACAGTGTCGCACACAAAAAGAACTCAGTTGGTAGCTATTAATACTAAGATGAGCTGAAATTAGTACTTCCCACAGCAGCCTCAACAAAGTGCATGTCTTTGTGCTGTCCCTGCTGTCAAGTGGAAAAGACTTTAACTGAGAACAATGTTGAAACCTCCCCCGCCCCCCCCACCCCCGGCCCTGGGAGGCATACTCGAGGCTTTGAGAATCCCCAGGAAGTGGGGCCATCTGTAGGACCCCAGCATGAGACCCCTCCTAAGCCTGTCATCCTTAGCCCCAGACCTCTGTCTCCTCCCCCCGTCTCCATAGCATCCGAGAAGATTACAAGTACATCCATTGTGGCGTGCCCCCCCAGCAGTCCTCTGTGAGCACCATTGTCAAATCCTACCGCTGGAGGGTCGCCCTGGCCCCACACCCTAAAGACATCATTTGGTAAGCCCCCGCTGCCCCTCCCCTCTCCTTTCAGCTCCTCTGAGACTGAAGAAGGGAACAGGGTGGGAAAGGAATGGGGGGCCTGTTCTCCTATGGGGCTGGTCCTTCCTGAGCACCGCAGCCTCGGCCGACCCCCAAACCCAGCCCACCACCAGGGCCTTGACAAAGGTTGTGAATGAGGGGGAAGACCCAGGGCCCAGTGTGCATGCAGGTCTGGTTGCACCAGGGGCTGAGTTAGACCAGGGCAGCCTGGGTCTCCCACTGACATGCAGGAACCCCCACATGGGCCCCATTGAAGGGCTGGGACCCAAGGTCCTAAGCATGTCTCCTTCCTCCATCCCTCCCCCCCAGGAAACACCTGTCCGTCCGCCGCTTCCATTGGTGGGCCCGCTTTATCGCAATCAACACCTTCCTCTTCTTCCTCTTCTTCTTCCTCACCACGCCTGCCATCATCATCAACACCATCGACATGTACAACGTCACCCGCCCCATTGAGAAGCTGCAGGTGCCGCCTCTGCTCGGGCCAGGCGTGGGGGCCCCAGGGAGATGAGAGAAGGACTCAGGCGAGGATGGGATGGTGGGCCCCCCTGGAACACGGCTCCTATGCACCACCAACATGGCGGGGGTGGCGGCGGTGTCCATGGTGGCTGTACTTGCCTTTGTTCTAAAGGGGTGAATGTGCAGGTCATTGCCCATCTGAGGGACTGGAGCTGGAGAGGAAGGAGAGCGGGGTGGGGGTCGCAGGCATGCTCTAGGGAGAGGTGGGGGGATATGGGTAGTCTAGGCCAGAGGGGGCTTGGAGGGCTTCTTTAGACTGGGTCCCAGCTGAGGCCAGCTGGGGGTACAAAGGGTGCAGCAGAGGGTGATGGCCAGTGTGACGGCTCTGTTCTCCCCACTGTCTCTAGAGCTGGGGGTCCACCTCCCTCACTTCCAGACACAACCCCTCTGGGCTGGGAACGCTGGACCTAGGGGAGCCAGCCCTGAAGTTAGAGGCGGCCTCTCCCTGACAGGGGGCTGCAGAGATGCTGGGCTGGCCCATTTCCAAATCCTATAGCCTCCAGGCTATCATAACGGGCCTGGAAGGCCTCCTCTTCCATATTATCCCCATCCGCATCTCCGACACACACACGCATACGCACGCACGCGCACACACACGCACGGTCAAGCCACACCACCTCTGCTGCTTGCTTCTGACCTCCCCCCCCCCCGTCAGCTTCACAGCAGGCCCCAGGGGGCACCACAGCTCCCCCGCTCTCTGCCACCTTTCACACCACATCACGTTGAAGGGACTGTCTTCTCTCTGAGCTGTGAGATGTCAGTGGCCGCAGCTGGCTCTGGCCTGAGGGCGAAGTCCCCAGAGAAAGCCCAGGCTGCCATTGCAGGGACCTCAGCAGAGAAGACCCCATGCCCCTTGAGGGCACTGCTTGGCCTTGAGGTGCCGGCCTCTGCCCACCCCAGCCAAGCAGACCCCTGGCCAGCAAGGTTGACGAAGAAGGCCACGTCCACTGCACAGCCTCAGGGAAACCAAACCTGCTGTGGGACTAAGCTTGGGGAGAAGAGGCGGGAGGTGTAGGAGAAGCAGGGGTGGCCTGGAAGGGGAAGGGTGGCAGCTCACACTGATGTCTCTCCTCCCTTCTCTGCTCCCCACAGAGCCCAGTCATAACCCAGTTCTTCCCCTCCCTGATGCTCTGGGCATTTACAGTGATATTGCCTCTGATTGTCTACTTTTCTGCCTTCCTAGAGGCCCACTGGACCAGGTGAGGTGGGGGCCTCCTCTCCCTGCCTGCTCTTTGCCCCAGCCCTAGCCCCTTCCCCTGCCCACTCTTCCACCAACCTGGTGTTGGGGTCTCCCGTCCGGCCTAAGGAATCGAACTGACGTGGGATGGCTTCGATCCCCAAAACTATCCCAAAAGACCAAGATGTATACATATACATACATATATACGTGTGTGTGTGTGTGTGTGTGTGTGTGTGTGTGTGTGTGTGTTTGTTTTTTTTTTTTTTTTTTTTTGAAAGAGGGGACTGAGTTGTCTCTGGGTCTCTGGCTTCAGGAATGCTGAGATGGGGCTGCTGTCTCAGGCATGTGCCCCTTGGGCTGCTCCCTCAGCCCCCAGCTACACACTGAAGGGAGGGAGCTGTGAGCAGAGATAGGCAGCTCAGAACTGCAGGCAGGATGCCCAGGGTGAGGAGGAGAGAGCAGAAGAACGTCACAGAGGAGCCCATGAACTCAACCTGACTACAGACCCATGTAGCCCATGTAGCAGCCACATTTTATTTAAAGATTTTATTTTTTTGAGAGAGAGAGCATGAGCATGGGGAGGGGCAGAGGGAGAAGCAGGCTCCAGACACAGGACTCTCTCAGGACCCCAGGATCATGACCTAAGCTGAAGACAGATGCTCAATGAACTGAGCCACCCAGGCGCCCCTGGCACCCACATTTTAAACGATGGGAGCTTTAGCCCTAATGGCTGGTTGGCCTTCCCCGTTCTATGGTGGCAGCCAATTGAGTGGAAAGTATTTACCACATCCTGGGACAGGTGAACCTCTTTCGCCTGAAGGCTGTGTGGGTTTTGAAAGTGATTTCCTGCACCAGAAGTTCCTGCCATCCGACCAGGCAGTAAGCCATGAGGTTGGTCCTAACAGAAACCCTTACTGGTCTTTTCTCTGGCCAAGGACATGGCTTATGTGGATTACTGAGACCCTGCAGGGATCCTGGGCATCAGTGGTAATGTCCCTCTGGCAAAGACACCAAGCACGCAGCACCTGTGTGCCCTTCCTGCCCGTCCTGTGCCCAAGGCTGACCTGACTGGTTGGTGCTGCTGCTCCCAGTGGCCGCCCAGCTCCCAGCAATCTGTGGGGTTGGCATTGGTACACGCTGTCCAACCCATTTTCGAGGCCAGTAGCCGTCTCTGTCTTTCCATGCATTCTGTAGTTATTAGGCCTCTGGTTCTTATCACATGTTTCTTTGTTCCCTTCTAGATCAAGCCAGAATCTGATCATCGTGAACAAGTGTTACATCTTTCTGGTGTTCATGGTGATTATTCTGCCCTCTATGGGACTGACCAGGTACCTCCCCTCCAAGCATCCCTCCCCCCTCAGACAGGCTCTCCCTAGAGTTGGAACCTCTTTTCTCAGATACCGGAGACCTCATTACAAATCTATTCCTCAAGTGACAGTCACTGAGCCTAGCATGAGCCTGGTGAACTTTAAGGGGTCAGCCATGAACTCTGCCTTCAAAGAGCTTATCATCCAGCGGAGGCAACAAGTCGTGCCTATCAGCTAACTGACAGCCCAAGGTGGGAAAAACGCAGGCCGAGTGTGCTGGAAATCCAAAAGAGGGAGAGAACACTGTGGGGAAAATGACTGGTGAAAGTTTGCTGGAAGAGGCAGCTTTGAGATGAGAGGCCTGAGGGTTCGGGCAGGGATGGCCCAGCATGAAGAAGGTGGAGAGGCAGTATGGACTGACCAGCTGGAACACTAGAATGCCAGAGTCTCTAGGGATTGAGTCAGGGAAGACAGAGGGAAGCAAGCCAGGCCAAGAGAGACTGAACCCCAAGACTCAGCTCACAGATACCTTAACTCAAGGGCCTACCTTGTTCTTGCTTCCAGTTTGGATGTCTTTTTCCGGTGGCTCTTTGACATCTACTACCTGGAGCAGGCGTCCATCAGGTTCCAGTGAGTACGAGAGCGCGTGCCCCAGGCGTGCCCCCATGTCCCCTGGGGCTCCCGTGGGCCCACGCCAGGTAGACACGTGTCTCCTTCATTTGCTCACACTGGTAGAGGTGGATGTACACAAAGACTGTCATGAAGGAACCTCTTAACCTTTCCCGGGCCTGGGACCCATTTGGCAATCTGGGAAAGCCCAAGGATCTCTTCTCTGAATGAAGTTTTGTAAATAATAGTAAATTTGTAGGAAATTGCCCCCACACTGTCTGCGTACCTTTCATCCAGCTCCCCCTCCGGTAACTTGCATAACTAAGGCGCCGAATCACAACCAGGAAACTGACATTATACACCCCACGGGGCTTATTCAGATTTTGCCGGTTTACTCTGAATCGATGTCTTTAAATGCACAGAATACCTGCTTTACAAAGAAAACCAATTATGCCGCAATATTGTTATCAACATTTTTTAAAAAAATATTTTATTTATTCATTTGACAGAGAAAGATCACAAGCAGGCAGAGAGGCAGAGAGAGAAAGGGAGGGAAGCAGGCTCCCCGCTGAGCAGAGAGCCCGATGCAGGGGCTCGATTCTGGGACCGTGAGATTATGACCTGAGCTGAAGCTAGAGGCTTAACCCACTGAGCCACCCAGGCGCCCCTCAAAATGTTTTTAAAAGTACACTTGTAATAAAATTCTTACTAGCACATTTAATAAGAGGACAATGCATTTTACATACCTGCGAGCCAAAGTTACATTTTATTGTTTTAGAAGCATCAGCATGAACGCCGAGACTGCTTAGCCAGCAGAACATTCCATTGGGTGGGAGGCGGGATCTTTGACGAAGGCACACACGTGTCATGTTGGACATCCAGCCAATTTTGATTTTGTCTTGTTTTTAGGTTACAAATATGGCAAATTCCAGTTTTCAAAGATGTAGTGGTGCAAATGACACGCAGGCTTTCACAGCTGGCTTTATAGGGCAAGGACCAGAATTCTCTAAGATTTTTGCAGTTTAACTCTACATAATTATGTTATGTTGGACTCTTTTTTTTTTAAGACTTTATTTATTTATTTGACAGACAGAGATCACAAGTAGGCAGAGAGGCAGGCAGAGAGAGAGGAGGAAGCAGGCTCCCTGCTGAGCAGAGAGCCCGACGTGGGGCCCAATCCCAGGACCCTGAGACCATGACCTGAGCCGAAGGCAGAGGCTTAACCCACTGAGCCACCCAGGTGGCTGGACTCTCTCTTTTTTTTTTTTTTTTTTTTTTAAGAGGAATGAGTTCATCTTCGGCTGGGTCAGTAACTTCGCTGCAGTTCATGTTTGAGAGAGAAAAGAGTTATAGGTCCATGACTCGGCTTTGATGCCATCAGGAAAGAATAGGTTTTGAAGGCGTTCTGAAGTGTATCAGGGAGCTCACAGATTTCTCCTTTCAAAGAAGCTGACGGAATTATGTAGATGGGGACACATGACAGGTGACAGAGATGCCTGGGTCAGCAGTGTGAGAACAGGCAGCATAGCCACCCACTCAGGTGACTGAGTGACTCCGAGCTGAAGCTGGCCAGCTGTGTCAAGTGCACGCCTGAGGGCAGGAACATTTCCGTCATGTAAAGTTAACGTGTCTAATTTAGCTGCGTGTTTCATAACTACCATCATTTTGAAGTGATGGTAAGTGCAAGGGTATTATCAGATATCGCTACCAACTGTACTGGGCTATGAAAATATCTTTAAGATTTTATTTATTTATTTGAGAGAGAGAGAGATAAAGAGAGAGCAGGAGCCGTGGAGAAAGGGAGAAGAGAAGCAGGTTCCCTGCTGGGCAGGGAGCCCGATGCGATGTGGGGCTGGATCCCAAAACCCTGGAATCATGACCTGAGCTGAAGGCAGACACTTAACCAACTGAGCCACCCAGGCACCCCCAGAAAATGTCTGATTTCAACTGGTGACTGGGTCACAGCCATAGTTGACATTGCTGTGGTTTGTTGCCCATGTTCTTTTTTTTTTTTTTTTTAAGATTTTATTTATTTATTTGACAGATCACAAGTAGGCAGAGAGGCAGGCAGAGAGAGAGGAAGGGAAGCAGGCTCCCTGCTGAGCAGAGAGCCCAGTGCAGGGCTCAATCCCAGGACCCTGGGATCATGACCTGAACTGAAGGCAGAGGCTTAACCCACTGAGCCACCCAGGTGCTCTGCCCATGTTCTTAGTAGAAAGAGGTGGTGCATTACAGTTAGAGGCTCGTGAATGTCAAGACATGTGTTTTCTTCATTTGTTCACATTCAAGGTCACAGACCCCCAAACTTCTCCCCACGGACTCTCTGGGGTCTGTGGGTCCTGGTCCGCACCCCTACTTTAGATCAAGCTAGAGTGTGTTTCCCAATACACCCACACTTGATGTAGACCAGCCCCATCCTTGCTCAGAAGGGTGTGCATTGACCTACACTGGGCTGGGGGCACGTGTATACAAAGCTTACTCTCCCCATCTCCACTCTCACCTTCTGCCCCTCTCCCCATCACTACCCCTACCCCTACCCTCCATTGCCTCACCATCACCACCTCCTCCCCATCTCTACCCCCACCTCTCCCCCCCTCCCCCCTCCATCCCCACCCTCTACCCGACCCATCTCCATCCCCACCCTCCACCCCTCTCCCAATGTCCCGGCCCTTTCCTTCTCCCTCCGGCTTCTATGCCCTCTTCCACCGTCCACACGGCCAGGTGTGTGTTCCTGCCGGACAACGGCGCCTTCTTCGTCAACTATGTGATCACGGCGGCTCTGCTGGGCACAGGCATGGAGCTGTTGCGCCTGGGGTCCCTCTTCCTGTATAGCACCCGCCTCTTCTTCTCCAGGTCGGAGCCAGAGAGAGTCCACATCAGAAAGGTGGGGGCCAGGCTCATGCCCACACACAGCCTTTCCCTGGGTGGGGGGGTCATGATGGGAGCCTACCAGGGCGGTGAGGGACCCGAGGTGAGAGGCGAGGTGGGCTGGGGTTGGCAGGGAGCCCGCCTCCAGACCTGAGCCACCGGGTAGCTCCCCTGGGGTAGACAAGGAGCTGCAGACGGAGCCGAGCCAAGGGAACCAGGCCGCCTCCAGTGACCCCCACCCCCCACCCCAGAGCCAGGCCATCGACTTCCAGTACGGGCGCGAGTACGCATGGATGATGAACGTCTTCAGCGTGGTGATCGCCTACAGCATCACCTGCCCTATCATCGTCCCTTTCGGTGAGTCTCCCCTCGGGCACCCCCAGAGCTGCGCACCCTCAGGCCGGGAGGAGGGATTGAGCCCCTCAACCTCAGAGCACGAGAAGGCCGGGGACAGACTGTGAGCAGAGCAGGGAGGGGCCGGGGCGGGTCAGGGGAGGTGGGACGGCCGCTCACACACGACGTTTGGTGACAGAGTGACCCTTCACCCAGCGGGTGGAATAGACTCCGGGGGGGCTCAAGGGAAAGGGGGGTCCTGGAGGTCAGCACCACGGGGCTCACACAGCCCATCCGTGGCCCTCGCTGCCCAGACAGACCTGAATCTGGCTTCTGTGGCCTGGGGGGCCCAGCCGTGGAAACAGTGGCTGAGCGTGTGTGCCCCCCTCCCCGCGCCCCTGCTCCCCGCCCCGCAGGGCTGCTCTACCTGTGCATGAAGCATGTCACCGACCGCTACAACATGTACTACTCCTACGCGCCCACCAAGCTCAACGAGCAGATCCACATGGCTGCCGTCTACCAGGCCATTTTCGCACCGCTCCTTGGGCTGTTCTGGATGCTCTTCTTCTCCGTCCTGCGGTTAGGTGGGTACCAGGCCCGCAGGCCTTCCTGCCCCCGCCCGCTTCCCGCCGCCGCCGGAGGCCCTGGGCAGCACCTGTGCTCGGGGCAAGCCGAGAAGGCCCGGGACGAGCAAGCCTGCTCACGGCTGCAGCCCCCGTCCCCGGGGGCTCCTCCAGGCCTCAGTTAGGGGTCGGACCTCAGTCCCTGCAGACCTCTGCAGCCGAGGGGAGGGCGCGGACCAGCACAGTCCAGATGGTGTGCACATGGGTTGAGGACCCTCCAAGCAGGAAGCACCACTTTCCTTCGTTCTAACTCAGGGCGGGCAGGAATATAATATTAGCTGTAGGGCCCGATTCTGGTGACGTCCTCCCCGCACCCCCCCGCCCCGGGATCCTGTGAGACGCCAGGTCTTCCAGATTGCCTAAAACCTGGAGGAGGATTCGGGGTCTGCCCCAGTGGCAGACCCTGCTCTTGGCCACACTGAGCTGCTGTCTCCGTCCCCATGGACCACACGCGAGCAGTCCCCTCTGAGGGAAGAGGCTAGCACTAACCTCTCTGCCACCGCGCAGCCTCCTGCCTTGTCCCCACACCCGCCTTTCCTCAGGGACCCTGCACCTTGAGCTCCTCAGTGGAGCGGAGAAGGGAAACCGTATTTTGTTCGTCTGCTGTCACGGCGGCAGCTGGAAACCGCTCCGCTCGCCTCCACTTCTGTGCACCCTCCATCTGTTGCCGTCTCCCCGTTTCTTAACCCCCTAGCCTTCCCCTGCCACCTAGCGAACCTCAGTTTTTTGTTGTTTTATTTGACAGAGAGATCACAAGCAGGCAGAGAGGCAGACAGAGAGAGAGGAGGAAGCAGGCTCCCTACTGAGCAGAGAGCCCGATGCGGGGCTTGATCCCAGGACTCTGAGATCATGACCTGAGCCAAAGGCAGCGGCTTAACCCACTGAGCCACCCAGATGCCCCCGAACCTCAGTTTTTTAAAAATCGTTTTCCTCCTAAGTATAAAAGACCATATATGTTTATTATCGAGATCTGAAAGCCCCGTCTTCACCCCCAAGCCTGCCGTCTGTCGCTCTCGGACCTCACTCTGTGCACACAGCCTAGGGGAGAGGCCGGAGCAGGAGAGGGCTTACTGGTCTATTCTTAATTTTCTTTTTTTTTTTTTTTTAAGATTTTATTTATTTATTTGACAGAGAGAGATCACAAGTAGGCAGAGAAGCAGGCAGAGAGAGGGGAGGAAGCAGGCTCCCTGCTGAGCAGAGAGCCCGATGCAGGGCTCGATCCCAGGACCCTGAGATCACGACCTGAGTTAAAGGCAGAGGCTTTAACCCACTGAGCCACCCAGGCACCCCTGTCTATTCTTAATTTTCAAAACCGTCATTTCCCCGTCATAGCGTCCCGTTGTGTATCCTGAGTCTCTTCCCTCACCATAGCGTTCTGTGGGATTTCCGGTGTTACCGACATCCCGTGTGAGCACGGGCCTTGAGCGAATTCCACCCGCTTCCGTCAGCTCTCCGTGGTGGGATCCCGAAGCTCTTGGCCATTTTTGCTCTTACAGAAACACAACGAGCAACAAGCGTCCTTATGGGCTAGCCTCTGACGGTAAAGACTGACCTTTAATCTTTACCTCAGTAGAAAACTGGCATCATAAAAAGGTCACCAAATGTCCCCGAGCGACATGTAAGTGACTTGAATTCTGGATAGCTCTTCAGTGCCACTAGCACAGGTGAGGGCTGTGCGGGAGCTCGCAGGGACCAGCGTGGCTCAGAGACCGTGTTTGGGGGCAGCAGCACGAATGCGTGACCTGGAGTGACTGCCCAGAACTGTGATCTGGGACGACGTATGTAAACTGACAGGTTGAGAAGGACGCATTTCCTGGACACTTGAGTGGACTGGATACTTAAGGCAATTAAATTCTGTCACAGAATCCATAAGACGCCAAATTCCAAACTGGTCCCATAGCACAAGGGACGAGGTCACTGTCAGGTGCATTGACTGCAGTTGCTAGGAGGAGGACTGGGGCAGGGGCCTCTCTGCCTTGGACTCAGAGCCCCCACAGAGGTGCTGAGGGGGGCCCCATGGGACCCGGCATCTCTGCTGGCAGACTTCTGCCCACGGCTCTGGGCCTCAAGCACCAAACCCCACGCATGGCCTGTTCTTCTCCTCGGCAGGTACACTCCACACCATCACCTTCTTCTCCCTGTCCACGCTCATCTTTTCCATGGTCATCGCTTTCCTTAGCACCCTTCTGGGGAAGCTCCAGGGGGTATCTGACTATGAGGTGAGTTACCCTTCCTTTCCTCCATGCGTTCTTGCTGCCCCCTGCTCCCTCACACTGAGCCACGGCTCTAGGCTACCTCCTGACCTGTGTACCCAGGGCACCAGACATGAAAGGTTCCCTTGCATGGCCCAGGCACCGTCCCCCTCGCACAGTGGGGAGATTTAAAAGACAGCTGTCCTCTCCTCCTCTCCTCCCCTCCCTGCCCAGCACCACCTCCAAACAGCGGGCAGCTGGCACTTCTCTCCTTTGGTGCAAGCCTGTCCAGCCACTGAGCTGTGAGCACCGGTGGATGCTTGAGGCAGAGAAGATGGGGTGGGGGTGGGGGGGATGGCTGTGGAGAAGGACGATGCCCTGGGGAAGGGGGGGGTAGTTATCACACTTTCGGGAAGCCCAGGCTATTGAACTTGAGGCCTGGCTCTCGGGACCCCATGATTCCTTTGGCTCTTAGCCAGCGGAGCCCGGCCCCATAGTTAGAGAAGGGAGACAGTCCCTGCCTGCTGAGATCCATGCCGACAATGCTGTGTGCCCTCCGTGGGCATTTCCCAATGTGGCATGTCTCTGTGGCCGTGCTAGAATGATTTCTGGGAACTAAAACTTTTTTTTTTTTTTAATTTTTCACGGTTATCCATTTTTCTCTTGGTTCACATTTATCTATTATTTCTGCTTATGTCAACGAATGCGGGTTTTCTGTCTATAATAATAAATTGTCTTTTTAAAATGAAGGTACATAAAGAAAAGGAAGGAAGTTAATTTAAAGTTCTGGTATCCTGCTGAGTCAAAGGAGGGAGCCTCTTGGAAGAGGATCCTTTTACTTTGAGTGGCATTGTGTCTGGTGACCCTGGGCTCAGACCCCCACGGCCCTCTCTGTCCGGCCCCGCTTCCATCCCTGGCTCGAGAGCCATAATGAACTAGAGTGGACAATGCCTCCAGCTCTGTCTTCCCCATCCAACAATGCCATGCGGTTTGGTGGCCCACGGGTCCACTCTAGAGAAGGGAGACAGCAGGGGCTCTAGACCGTGACGTCGGACCGGTCCCAGAGAGAAGGGAACCCAGGGGAGGAAAGAAGAGACAGTTGAAGTCAAGGCCTTTCCGAGAGTCCAAGCAGGCTCCTATTTGAATCCCAGCCCCACCTCTCCTTACTTCCCCCCAGTGTGGTTCTTGGGGATGGAACATTCCAAAGGGCCACCAGCATCCCGGGCCTCTCTCTGCAGGTCTGGGAAAACAGAAGACGGCGTTGAGCGCCAGGGGAGCCAGAGGCCCAGGTGCAGATCTGGGGAGGGAGGGAGCAGAGGGTGGACACCCCCATTCCGTGACCCTCCACATCTCTCCCCCACTGCTGCAGCCCGAGGAGGAGATGGAGACTGTGTTCGACATGGAGCCGAGCAGCACCTCCTCCACGCCCACCTCCCTTGTGAGTCACTGCCTTCCCCCTGGGGGACAGGTGGGGGGGGACCTGCAGGAATGGGCTACTACAGCCGCAGTGGGGGGTGGCGCCGGCATTTAGTGCCCACCCCGGGGACTGGCGGGGGGGGAGGGCCCGGGCTCCGTCCCCTGACCCAGCAGGACTTGGCCCAGGTGAAACTGCTGCCGTGGCCGTGGCTGAAGGGATGGGAAGACAGAAGAGGCCAGACATTGTCTAAAAGGAACTCAAAGAGGAAGAGAAAGGTCAGGGCGGGCCCAGCCACAGCGAGATCAGTCATATAGACACAGGGACGTGCTGGGGCTCGGCCTCAGGACCGAAGGCTGCCTCCAAGGGCACAGATGCCGGGCCGAGCGGCGCGCCCAGAGCGGCAGGAGCGATCGGAGGCCTGCACTGAAGGGTAAGGCAGCAGCAGCGCCGCACGAGCGAGCCCCTCAGCGGGTGAAGAAACGAGGAGGCCAAGTCAGAACGAGGGGGCCTGGCAGGCTGGCCTGTTGGCTCCCTCGCCGTGGCTCAGCCTGGAGCGTCCCGCGCGCTCGCCCACAGCCCTGCCTCCAGTGTGGATGCAGCGCCACCAATGTCTGCTCTGAGCTGGGTACCCCGACGCCAGGGCGCCTTGCAGGAGCGTGGAAGAAAGGGCCCCAGCCAGCCTGAGCACTCAGGGAAGGCTTCCCGGAGGAGGGAACATCTAATCCGACTCTAGGAATATGGGAGGAGGGGTTGCTAGGTAGACTAGGATGTGGGGGAAGAGCGTTCAAGGAAGAGGATCAGCCTGTGCCAAGGCCCGGAAGAGAGAATCTGGAGCGTGTGGGCACCGGAAGACAGTTTTCGGCGTGGTGGAAATGTGGAGTGGGCAGCAGGGCCCAGAGGGGTGGGTGGAGAGGAGACAGGGCTCTTGGGTCGCCGCAGAGCTGGGGGAAATGCACAGACCCAGCAGTGGCGGACATGCCCAGCCAGGCGCACAGAGCAGTGGCTCAGCCTCACCTCCCAGGGGGGAAAAACCTCCAGACAGGCAGATTTCCTGCGGGAGGTGATGGGAGAATGGACGCCCATGTTGGAAAGTCGCCATCAGAGCAGGGGCCTCTCTTGAGGTAGCATCTCTCCCCAGGGGCCCTCACAAGACGACCCCTCTGGAATCTTCTTAGGAACCTGACTTTGCCATTCTCAGTTCCAAATCCTTAGGATAGGATAGACCCACACAGTAGGGGGTCTTTGTCCTTCTTTTACAAATGGGGAAACTGAGGTTCAACACGGTCAACTAATTGAGACCCCAGGGCATTACTGAGAAAGGCAGTGGCAGTACAAAGTTTGAAGTTGCATTCTGAAGCTTGAGCTTTTAAAAAAAAAAAAAAATCACCGGAATTGATTTTCTTATCTTTCATGACAACCACGGTCATATCTGAACACTGCAGATAATTATGGGGGAAAAAACGGAGAAGCAAAACCAAGAAAATAAAAAGTTCATAATTCCACCACCCAGAGATGACTATTGATAACTTACTGTCAGTTCTCTCGGGTATATATATAATTTTTGCTAAAATGAAATGATACTCTTCATACCATTTCATAATCTGCATTTTTAGTTAACAATCTCCATCTTTCCACACACATAAGTTTCTATGTCTTCAAATACTCAGCCCATACTCGAGTCACCCTAAGTGTTCCAGAAATATCTTTCACCAAGCATATCCAGACCAAGATCCAGTCTGGGCTCCGTGCTGGATGCGTCTGGTCCCTGTGTGTGTTTATTGCCTGTCAGAGAGACCCAGCCAGTGGTCCTGAAGAATTCCCCACCTTCTGGGTTTTTCTGGCTATTTCTTTGTGATGTCTGACAACAGGTTCCACTACCCTGTGTATTCCCTGAAAACTAGAAGTTCAGTCCAAAGGCTGGCGAGATTCTGATTCAGCCCTAGGGGCTAAAACACATGGCAGGCGGTGCTGTGCCTACACCAGGAGACACAGACTATCCCATTCTTTCCCCACAGAGGATGCTGGTGACTCCCAGATGAGGGGGATGACAGTGGCTCCTCTGTTGTTCAGTTACCATTTTGTCCCTTAGGTTTACAACTAGAAGGTTTATATGGGGTTTAACTTTGGAATGCTGCAAATATCTAGATTCTTCTGGAAGAAAAGTATTCCCTCATCAACCAGGACTCTGCTCTGGTTTCACTGACATAAATTCCTACAGGAAAGATTTAATTCTATCCCATAATCCCGTTTTCAAAATAAGGAGTTGGTGTAAAAGCCATTCGAAGGATGACAAAGAACTCTGTCCCTAGTACTTCCTGTTTTTCTATTCCGCTGCTCTTCCAGGCATTCTGGGACCATTCCTGGATTTGACAGGTCCCATGGCCAAGACCTCGGCCAGCAGTCTCCTTTTCAAATCCTGATTCACAGGCCAGCCAATGACACACCCCAGGGGAGGTGTGGCTGCACTTGTTAGGCTGTACTAAGACAAGCACTGGCTCAGGGATGAGGGTCTCTCCAGACCCCAGATCGGGGAGGCTTGCATCATCTGCCCCCGGGTTCAGCCTGACCTGGAAGCAAGAATGATCGGAACCTTGCTGAAGGAGCAGGGGGCTGGGGGCTAGGAGGCCTGCACTGACTCACCCTTGGAGTCAGAGTTGCCCTTTGAATGACCGAGAGCAGCCGGCAGGCCGAACGGCCAGACCTTGGGCTGCTGGGGGCAAAGGAAGGATCCGTGGCTCAAGAGGGGCAGGCTCGGGGGGGGCAGGGCATGAGTGTGAGGTGTGCCCAGGACCCAGCCCCAGGTGCGGCCTCACCCTTGTCTCCCCTCTGTCCCAAGCAGATGTACGTGGCCACTGTGCTGCAGGAGCCGGAGATGAATCTGTCCCCTGCCTCCTCCCCCGCTCGGCACACCTACGGCACCATGAACAGACAGCAGGAGGAGGACGAAGAGGAGAGTGGTGTGAGGGGCTTTGCACAGGAGCTGGGCTCCGCCCAGTTCCAGGAAGGGCTGGAACTGGAGGGCCAGAGCCAGTATCACTGACCAGGACCCAAGGCCTCCATCTGGCAACTCCACGGGAGCGGCGGCCAGGGGAGGGCCCAGCAGGGGGAGGCAGGAGGGCCACCGGGCCCTCCCCACTACCTCCTGCAGACTTTGTGAAGGCCTCAACGGAGACACCTGTGCCCCGGCTATTGGCCACACGGAGGCCCGGACCTGCTGACCAGCTTGAATGGGAGGTGCTGGGCAGTGCAGAGGGAGCCCGGGGTGGGATGAAGGCTACAGGCGGGCACCGCATCTCGGGAAAGGTGGCTAAAGCCCTGAGCACAGAGACTGCAGGCTGAGGGGCCCTCCTGGGGTCAGAGTGGAAGTGTGCGTAAAGGAGGAGGCAGAAAGACGCCCGCCGAAGACTCTCCAGGGCCTCTGCCAACCTTTAACCAGCTGCCCTGCTGAGGAGCTCCCACAGCGGCTCCCACCCCGACCCCAGCCCTGCTCTGATCCCTCCCCTGCGGCCTGAAGACGCACAGGTGTGCTCGGGCCCTCATCCAGAACAGCCCCGTCACGGGGATCACCCAGAGCTAGGGCCAGCTGAGACCCTTCCTGGTCCTCCGCCCCTCTGCGGCCATCCCCGGGAGCAGCAGGGTACAGACCTTCCTCCTTCCTATTCTTGCAAGGGCAGCTGGGACATGATCCCTCGGGGCTCATTAAACAGGACCTGTGTGCATTTTGATGAAGGCAACCTCGGCTGGTTACTACAAGGCGGGAGGGCCAGAGGCAGAGTTCACGGAGTGGGCTCTTCTCCCCAGACGCTGGGTGATAGGAAACCAGATACAGCTCCCCAACCCCCAGGCCTTAATGAGAGGACCCTCAAGGTCAAGGATGTGGCCACTGAGAGTTGCTCCTGCCTCACACCCACCCGAGTTCCTGGACCCCCAGCGTAGCCAAGGTGAGCATCCGCTTAGGGTAAGAATCCTGTGCTTTAGGCTGCAGGCGCAGACCGTTCCCTGGTCTCCCGAGCGGGACCTTTCCTCTCTCGGGGTCACCTGCATCCTGGACCGAAGACCACTTGAGCGGCCTCCAGCATGGTCCTGACCCAGGCACTACAGACACACTCCCGGAAATGGGCTGGGGGTGGGGGCTGTGTCCTCCACGGAGAAGCCTTTTTTGGGGGAGTAAGGCTGCCTTCCCAGGGCCACCACCACGCAGGACCTGGAGGGACCGACTCCTGAATAGGAACCATGCTGGGGACACCCAGCCCCTTTGCCAGAGCCAGCGGGGCGCAGACCTCTGCCTCTGAGGACAGGCCCCCATCAGGACCACCCTGCAGCACAGCAGGGGAGGACGCAGACAAGGGCTGGCTGAGGCCTCAGGGGACCAGAAGGAGCCAAGTCGAAAGGGGTCTGCATGCTCTAGGGCTCTTCTGAGCTCCCTCCTGCAAAGGTGTGGGTCCCTGCAGCCACCCTGCCGAAAGCCGGCCCCAGGCTCACCTCACCTGAGCCTTCCCCATCAGGTCCCAGGCACATGGGTGCCCCTGAACCCAGACCACCTGGGGTTCACCCCGGCTCCGCCTGTGCCCACACCTCAGCTGCAGACACTCCAGGCTTCACTTCGAGAAATAGCCCCTGAGAGGCAAACGTTGCCACACCCCCAGGGCTTGGCCCAGACCTTGGCGTGAGGGATCTTTCCAGAAAGCTTGAGTCAGCTGGGGAGTCACAGTCTCTCCCACTCCTGCCCTGCTAGGAATAAGGAGGAAATTATACCCAGCCAGTCCCTCATGAACCGAGGCCCCTCAGGGCCCCCTTCTCCTAGCATTTCACCAACCAACAAAGGGAAGGGTCCCTTCCAGAGCAGTGGTCCGGGTCCCAACCGGGAGATCTGCCCATTTCATGAGGAGGTGGCTGGCTCCAGGCCCTCCCCACCCCCCAGAAGATATATTTGGTGTGCGTGTGGCTTTCCTGCCAGAAGCTGGCCTACAGGCTCTCCTTCCCTGGGCACTCCTTGCTGGCGCCTGCTCCCCATCCCCGCAGTCCCTGCTGGACTATTCCTGCCGCTTCTGCCACTGTCCCTCCTCTCTCTGTCCCCTGCCCACCTGGCAGCCTCTGGATGCTGCATATGGAAAGGGTCCCAGCCCGGCCGATTACATGGCAACACAGCTGGGGAATTGCCCCTCCGTATTTGAGCCAAGTGCGGTTGGTTCTGAGAAAGGATGGCGGAAATGTTGAGAAACTTCCAGAATCCTTTCACTTCTCAACTCTTTCTGGAGACCCAGGGCAACTAGCAGGCCCCCTCCCTGCCGCTGCTCAGTCTCTGCTGTCACTGCGAAGGCCGGTGGCCATGCTTTGGCTCCTTTCGCACCACACCTAGGCCCCCTCCAGGCACCTCCCCTCCGGCCTGCCCTCTCAGCCCACATGCGTCTCACCCACTGGCCTCCAGCCACCACCGTCTGACCCCACCCCCAGCCCTCTTCCCAGCTGTCCTTCCCCAACCTTCCATAGAAGCACCACCTCTCAGACTTGATTCTTTCTGGAGGGGCTGCCTCTGAGGGAACCCAGGATTGCCTAGAGCCTCTAAGAAGTGCCCCACTGGGCCAAGAGTAAGCTTCATGCCTGCCTGCCTCTTCCTGAGATGCTTCTGGAAGCAAAGTGCCTATCAGCAGCATTGCATCCTCCGGGGCCCCCCGTGTGGGGTGTGGGCTTCCCTTGGCCACCACCACTAAAGGAATGTGCCAGAATGCCGAACCTTCTTGTTACTAATGCTATGACCGTGCCTTGAATAAACAAGTCCTCCCAACCTCTGCTGGCCTGTGCCTCTGCATCTGGAAGGAGCCAGAGCTGCTAAGGGATGAGCCTCCCTGAGGTTGCCAGGCTGGAGTGTCCTCCCTTGCTTCATGCCTTCGGTCCCCAAGGCCTTCCCAGGCCCCTGTGCTCACAGGGGAAGGCCCGACAAGCGCTGCCTGGTCTGCGGAGAGATGGGGGGATCTGCCCCACTCATTCTGCTGCAGGTGCACTCAGAGCCCCCTGGGCAGGAGCAGAGGACTTCCTAGTCCGAGGGCTACCTGTGAAGCCGCCGAGCAGCCTCCCCAGGGCAGCACAAGCCCCAGGGTGAGTGCTGGCCCGCCAGAGTGGGCCACTGGCTAGACTAGTTGCTGGACTTGAAAAATGAGGATTTCAAGGGGAGGCCCCCAGAAAAAGCGGTCTGCACCGGCCACAGCCAGCAGCACAGGGACAGGGGGTAATGGAGAGAGGCTGGGCCTTAGGGAGGCAGGTGGGGCTGTCAGGCCGGAATGGGATAAGAAACGCTGTCTGGCAAAGGCTAGTTGGGTCTGCTGTTGTGCCCAAAGTTGGGGGGAAATTCCCTGCTGGCGTGAGGTGCGGGGAGGTTGGCGCCTGTCCTGGTCTAGGAGACCAAAGTTCTGGCCTTCCTGCAGCCAGCTCCATGACCCTAGGCTGCTCCCGAAAACAGGGGTAGGACGACAGCTACTCTGTCGTGTGACTAAGTGGAACAGACTCAGTTGGGGGGACAGAGGGAACGGGGCTTCAGAGGGGAGGCCTCCTTCCTCACCTTTCCCTGGGACAACAGGACAGTCTCGGGGTGGGCTGATGGCAGCTGTAGCACCAGGAAACTTTTCCTGGGATTTTCAAAGCCTTGTCGTAACAGCTGTCTCTCAGGCTCTCCTCGACAGCCTCCAGGGTCCCCCAGATCACTGCTCTGGGCCATGCCTTGGTTCAGTGGACATTTCAGGGGACTTTGCTCAGGGTAAGACAGACAGATAGACAAAGAAGCTGCAGAGGGTTGGCTATCACTCCCGCCATGTCAAGTCCTAAAGGGAGGGTAGAGGTTAGTCAGTCTGTATCAGCGGGCCAGCAGGACTGGAGACCTAGATGATTGATAGAGCGGGGCTGGGAATGGGACTGTGGCACAGGCCGAGAGGGAGGCCAGGAGGGAGGCCTGGTGCTAGGGAGGTCCAGGACTGCCACCAGACAGGGCTGTGCCCACCGGGGCACTGGAGCCCCTGACTGCATGCCGGACTGTGGGCTACTGGAGGCCACTGGGCTCTGGGACCCTCTGCCTAGAGGCCAAACTTTGGGGCGGCTTCGGGCTCCTCCAGGGCTGGCTCCCCACCACCTAATTCTGTAGTGCTGGGGGGAGCTCAGGTCTGTCCCGAGGACACTTCGAGCTGGCCACAGCCAGATTCCTGAGTCAGCTCTGGAGCAGGCCCCAGGCGAGCCGGGGGAGCTGGCTTACAGGAAGGCAGTGCATGGTTTTCTCAGCAGGGCTGCTTTCTAAACATCGGATGGGCCCTGGGCCCCGACAGTCCTGCAGATCTCCAGCCGCAGACGCTACCATTCTCCACCCTGGCTGCAAGTGAGAATCTCCCGGGAGAGTTTAAACGATCCCAGTGTCCACACCCCATCCCCGAACAACCCAAAGTTTCTGGGGTGGGGCCCAGGCACCCCTATTTTACAAAAGCCCCCCACCCCCCAGCTGACTCTAGTGTCCGGGAGGGTAGAGAGGGCAAGGCTCTTGTGGACAAGCGAGGGGGGAAGCTGGTCTCGGCCCCTCCCGTGCTATATGTTCCTTGGAGCGTGCGAGCCAGCAGCGTATCTAAGGACAAAGCCGCAGGCTGGGAAGGCCTCCAGGGAGCTCAGATGTCCGGTGTGGGTAGGCCATCCACAGGCCCGAACATTTGTCTCCTGTCTTCTAAGCAATTAATCCCTAGCACCTGCACAACTTCCGTTATCATCATCTTACTTTGTAACAAGGACCATTGTTTGAGCCGGAGGGACACACACAGGGCCTCAAGGATCACTTGAGGCCACCATGTCCTCATCAAGTCCTGAAGAATCACCGCTCCTCTCCCCTCTGAACACAGAGCCCCACGTGGCTTTCACGGCAACCTTCCCATTTGGGTTGCAAGATTATAAATGCAATAAGCCATGTATATGATGGATGTCAGCAGGGTCAAGTGCTTTGAGGAAGGGTGGGGAGCGGCTGCACATGGGGAGGCTCTGGAGGTGAGACGTGGGGGCGTGGGGGGCTGCATGGAGGGGGTGGGGGGCAGATCCGGAGGAAATAAATATACAGCAGGGGGAGGCCGTCTGGTAGGGCAGCAGGACCCTGGGCTTTACTCCAGCGACGTGAAGGCTACTGGAGGATTCCAAGTGGGTAAGAGATATGATCACCTTAGGCTCCGAGGTGATCATTGCAATCTCTCGGTGGAGACAACATGGAGGACAAAACCCCGCTGGGGCTCTGCAGGAG